GGTATTTAAATGAAGGCTCTTACACATAGGGGTGTGTGGGAGGGAAACATCTCCCTCCTTGTATCCAGGGACTTCACTCAAGGTCTTTAACATGAGCCATCACGTATCTTAGAGGGAGCCAGGATTCACACAGACCAAGTCCAGCCACCAAAATAGAGTTGAGTCCATCTTTAAAGGACAATGCTTGCTCAATGAGTCTACAATCCCAAGTAGCTACCAAGATTGCCAAAAACACCAGGTGGCGGTTCAGCAGACAGAAGTCATACCTGCTCATCTACACGGAAAATGAAATAGATACATCGGTGAGAGGTAAGTAAATAAACAGCAACATCTGAAAACAACCATTTTGGGAGAAGAAAAAAAAAAGCAAAACACAAAGAAAATGAGTTACTCTTTTTTTTAAAAGTTTGAGGATCTTCCCTTATCTCCATTTGTCTTTGATACCGCTGGCCCATTGTTCTTTCTGCCATCACTTGAAGCCAACCAGACAGATTTATAACGAGATGCTAGTCCTTTTCTACTCTACTGACAAATATGCGGCCCATCTGCCTCCAGTCAATGATGGAACACGTGGAGATGGGAGCAATGAGGTATTTTTAAACACTCCTTTAATGAATTCATTCCAAGGACTTGGCACTTGGTGCATTGAGGGGTGAGGGGAGGGCAGAGGGAGAAGAGAGCACGCACAGGATCTGGTAAATAAAGAGATTTGCCATAATCTGGATTCTAAAACCCTTGCTATGAAACATCCTGCTTGCCCCCAACAAGCTGTTAAGAGCAAGGAGAGAAGTCTGCAAGCAAGGCGGTATATGGCATTTGTTCGATTTTTTTTTTCAGACTTTAAGGACAAGTTCTTAAAATGAGAGCAAAACTAAAATTTTATCTAGAGAGGTATTCTCCTATCTGCTATTGCTAGAAGGTTTTAAATTATTGGTGTCTTATTTGATTAAAATAATCATCGTAGGTCATTGAAACGAAGAGTAGATTCAGTTCCGAGTCGTTAGCCAGTCCCTTGGGGGGAAAATCAGCATGGAAAACTGTTTAGTTTGCCTTTAAATGGGGGAAAACCAGACATCTGGGTATTGGTCAGACAGTCATAGAGGAGGGTTGGGAGGGGAAATTTACATTGAAATCAACCTGTGTTGAGCCTCAAACAGGGAAAAGCTTTGCAATCTGGGATCTCCAGGATTTATGGCACAATGACCCAGAAATTTCACTCAGAGCTGTTAAATATTGCTGGTTTCTGCAACCGAAGCACTACCTCTTAGGCACTTTACCTCATCTGACAATCTCCTTAAATTTGAAGCGAAAGGAGACAGCACCTAATCGTGTTATATAAAAGAGCACAAGAAGGGGCCGTTGATACTGATGGGCAGACCTGTCTTTTGGTTGTTTAACACCCTGGCTCTTCCGCTTCATTTGGTGGAAATCCAGTTTCGTTTGGACTTGGAAATTGTTTCTTGTTAGAATTGATCTTCCACAAGAGGCTGTCTCAATAAACATGAAATGGCTTTTTCATAATTCCATTATTATCTCTTTTACCCAAGGAGGCTGATTTTTATGTTCTTCAAAATGAGAAATGAAAACGGCAGCAAGCCCGAGGCATGCAATACGCAAACCCCTTTGGACCCAAAACCCATGCCCTCCTCCACTGGTTTTCCAATAAGTCCAGTCCGAAAGCTCTTCCTCCCACTGACCTCAACCTCGTTCCCCAGGGGAGGAGGGAGACGGCAATAGTTGTTTTGCTTTTGTTTGCTTGAAATAATAAATCCAGAGGGTTCCCTTGCCAGGGTTTTTCTGCTGTCAGCAGTTTTCTGTTTCATTTGCTTCCTTAGTCAAACTGAAACCCGAGCCCTCGTGGTTGACTTTCGCCCTGACCCCTTGGCTCCTGGGAACTGATCAGAAGACAGATCGCTGCGGGTTCCTAACAAACGTGGAGATTCAGCACTCTTTCATCCCCCCCAGAACGTATTTCTAAAATGTCCACCTCCACATCTAGGCGCTCCAGTATAGCTCAGTCCATAACTGACCCGAGCCTGTCTGCCACCAACCAGGTATAATCACTTTCCAATTTGGGTCAGGGACCTAAAACCGTAACTCTAGCTATGTCTGGGGAACCGGGGGGGTGGGGTGGTGATGGAGGAGTACTCAACTATCAAATTAGATGTTGCTTTACAAGAAATTACCTGTTGGGGCCTGGGAACTACCAAAGAGTCCACTGTTAACTTTTATGGAAACTGGATACTAATAATCCCAGTTCCAAATAATCAGAAACCTCAAATAACCAAAGCAGCTTTTGAGTATACTTTGCAAAGGCAAAGACTGAATGCAGAGGCTGATACCAAGAATATTCCAAAAGGCAATTTGTAGGGTATATATGCCAAAGGTTTGAGAGAAAACCAGTAGTCTTCTCTGCTAGACATGTCTATAGTACACTCATCGATGATAACTGACATTTCCAGGTGATAACCTCAAAGTTCTGCCAAGTCCTGGAATCTTCCTGGAAAGACAACATTACATTCTATACCCCTGTATTCTTAAAGTCCGTTTTCCCTGGACCAGCTACTTCACAGACATTGGAAGAATCAAAAGTGATGATATATACAAATGAGCTTTGCAAGTGGGTGCTGAACAAACATGAGATGTCACTATTGCTTCTAATTGGTAATTGGCATATGTAATTGACAAGTAACCATATCACCAAAGGAACAGTAACCAGAATGGCCAGTTTATCATACTCTCATGTCTCATTCTCGATCAGAGTTTTACTGAAAATACAGGTACCGAAAGCATATAACTGTATTGCTATTTTTGCTTCCTTCTCAGCAATGTGTTTCAAAGCGACAGCTTCAGCCCTGGTAGAAAGCAAAAGCCAACAAAGGCAACTGGCCTGAGGATTCTCCGTGAACTCCTGTTTTTAGGCACATTAGTCAAAGATGTCAGAAGAGGCAAGAGAATCTCACCAAACCACAGGAACAATTTACTAATCAAAGTCGTCGATTGGAGCCAACCCTCTAAAAGCCAGCTCTCAGACCATTTATGTGTTTGTATCCCTGTAGAGTGTCTTCCACGTGAGATCGACCCAAGTACTCGGTACATGTTCCTTGAAGAAAAGATGGAAGAGCGGAAGAGACTGAGAAAGACCAGGGCTTCTGAAAATGTCACCTGCTCCTCAGTTACTGTGATAGTGGGTCACAGATCGTGCTATATGTTTCTCAGCCTTTCAATTTTTTTCAGTTCTTTCATCTCCTAAATATAAGGGGCTTTTTGGGGGGGGGCATCTTTTCTTAACTATGCATCAGTGCACAGATACGGCATTAATTGAGTGTGAATCTTAAAAATATTGAAAATCACTTCTGCTCTTTATTTAATGTCACATCATTTCACAGCTCTCATTTAGGGCAGAGGTGAGATACACATTTCTGGGGGTCTTTGTTATTGCCTTAACCTTTCCTTTCCCCATCTGGCTATCAAAAAAAGGAGTGAGTTGGGTACAGGATTTGAAAGATGACCATTCTCCACCTCTTTCACAGATGTTTTTGAACCTAGCCTTTACACGCAGGGATAAGTCTAGAAGGGCCACGAAGGCAGCCAGAAATGCCTTTATGTCTTCTCTAATATGAAAGACTGAATCAGCAGGGAAAGGCTCTGAGGTTGAGCCATATGGGTTCTTAATATTTAATTCTAGATCCTTGTTTTAACACAATGTACCACCTTCTCTGTACACACGTTTCTTTCTGGAGTATCTTTTTTTGAAGAAATAACCATCCAAAAACAAAAAAAATTCCACACCGCTGAAATGTTAGAATAAAAAGAAGAAATCTCACGCTACCACAAGGTGCCAGACTCCATCGGAGGGACTCCCGGGGAAAGAAGAGGGATGCCTTCTCCTGAACACAGGGAGACCGTTTTGCAAATACCTTCCTTTGCTTGGAGGTTGGAATCTAAAGATCTGACTTTGGAACCAGGACTTTACTCCTATTTAGAGAGCCTTTCCCCAAAATCAAACCTGGGGCATTAGTAAAATTTATTAGAGAGAAATTATGGAAAGGACCAGGACCAAGGATTCTTCACCGGTGCCCAGAGGAGCTGCTCCCCCCGCCCCCAAGCCCGGCTTGGATCCAGGGATCTCTTGCAAGCAGCCAGTGCCATTTCCTTAACTAACCACAGCTGACCTCCCCAACCGGTCCTTTTTCCCTATTTCGGGTTCTACCAAGCCAGAAAACATTCCTGGGAGATACTGACCCAGGAACGTTGTTCTGGACCCTTCCTTTGAGGGATGAGTACTCAAAGGATCTTTTTGCCCCTTGCAGCCCCTCTCCCTCTTGATAAAGGCAGCTGTCACTCGCTCTGGGAACATTCTTACTCCGACTGCTGCCTCACGAGGCAGGAGAGGACTCCGCTGCCCCAGGCAGAATGGGGAAGCCAGCGCTTCACCCGCTAGCATCTGGGGACTCCTGTCCGTGCCCCAAATCACTTCTTTTCCCGCCTCTTCCCGGGAAGTACCCAGATCTCTTCCACTCTTTCTTAGAGCGGCCCAGGGAGATTCCGCCATCCAAGAAAAATGTGCGATCTGTGCAGGCCGGGCATCTACTCCGCGACTCTGCAAAGCTGACATTCGAGGCCGCGCGCGCGGGTCCTCGCCCCGCCCCAGTCCCGGCTCATTCATTCCCGGCCGGTCCCCACCTTCCACCCCGCGCATCGCTCCAAGCGCTGCTCCCCCGAGCAATGTACCCTCAAGAGGGTTTTCTCGTTGGACTCTTCTTCACACCTCCACCGTACCCTTTTAAATCAAATAAAACCGTCGTCTGTCCCCCGCAGCTCCAAGGGTTAATAAGCAGCTAGCTTTGCCGAGGAAAACCCATCCCCTCCCCACCGTCCCGCACCCCCAGCCGAGCCACCAAGGCCGGGTGCCGACGTCCCCGGGTCCCCGTCCCGGATGAGGGGCCACCCCCCGCGCGCGCCCGCTCCCCCGCGGGTCCGCAGAAGAGCCCCCTCACCCTTCGGTGGATGCCATGGTCTGGGAACGCCCCCTCCTCTTCGGCGCGGTCCGGCGGCGGCGGCGGCGGCGGCGGGCGCGCGGCGAGCCGGTGCGGCGTGAGCGCCGGCGAGTGGCGGAGCGCGCTATTTAAGGGGGAGCGTCTCCCCGCCTCCCACCCCCCCTCGCGGGTAAGCCCTTTAGCGCCGCAGCCCGTGCGGGAGGCTCCGGCGGGCGCTAAGCAGCGGCTCGACTCTTCTCCGCCCGCGTCCCGCCTCGGCGGCGCTCGGCGGGGCGCTCGTGGGGCGGGGGGGTGGCTTCCCCGAGCCAGCGCCGCCCCCGGGCCGCCGGGCCGCCGCCACCTGCCTGTGCCGCGGGGCTCCAGGCGCGGCGAGGGGCAGAGCGCGGGCTGGAGGCGGGCGGCGGGGGAGGCCGGGGAGGGGGGTGTGCCGCGGGTGTGCAGGGGAGTGTGTGCGTGCGTGCGCGCGTGTGCCGGTGTGTGCGCGCCGGGGGAGGCGGTGGCGGCCGCTGAGCCCTGGCTCGGCGCCGCCGGGGAGGGATTGCGAGGTTTAGCCCCGCCGCAGCTGGGGATTTGCAGGCGATCCCTCTCTATTTTCGTCGAGAGCTGACATCACCCGCGCCGCCGCCTCGGGAGACTCCTATAACTGCCGCCCCTCGCCCCCCCGTCCCCAGACGCGGCCGCCCCTCGGCTGTGCCTCCCCCACCACCCCACCCCGCCCCCCAGGCCTCTCGCCATAAATTAGCCAAATAAGAAAGGAGGCCTCGCTGGTCGCCGGGAAGGCCTGGGCAGCCGGTGGCAGGAGCCCAGGATCTAAGGAGTCGCTATTGTTCCCCCCTCAAGCCATCGTGGCCCCGGGTCACCCCGCGCCGGGCGAAGCGCAGGCCGGAGCCCGGAGACCTGGGATGCCCCTCCGTCCTCGCCTCGCTGGAGCAGCCCCCGGCGCTCCCCGGCGCTCCCCCTCGCTCCTTGGCACGCTCGCTGCGGCGCCGCGCTCACCCGCACGCACCCTCACGGGCGACACACCCACCCCATCCTCAGGCGTCCCGGGTGCCGGGCCCAGCCGAACCCAGATGCGTGCCCTCCCCCCGCCGCGGCCCGAATAAATCTCTGGCCTTCAATTATTCATCGGGATTAATATTAATGCAGCTCCCGGGGGGCGGCGGGCGGGTGGGCGAGCGGAGTGCTGGGGAGGCCGTGGTCTTTTTTAAGCCTTAGGAGGTTGGCCTCGGGGGCGCTGGCTGGCAAGGCGTGGGGAGACGGCCCAGGCTAGCGGCTGGGGGATGCGTCTCCACCCACTCCTGTTCGCCTTCGCCTTCTGAGCCCCGGGGGCGGCGCACGGAGACAGATGGGCTCCGGCGAGGGAGGGGAGGGTCAGAGAGCCTCCCCGTCGGCTTTGCATAATAATGACGAAATCCGTGCCGATTTTATTATCTTTGGGGCACAGCTCCACCACCTGCCGCACGCTGTGACTGTCGGGGAGGCGAAACCTCGCTTTTCTCCGTCTGGAAAATGGGACCAAAAATAACCCCTTTTGCAGGGCCGCGATGAGAATTAAACAGGCTCTCTCGATAGAGAGATTTGCTCGGTGTAAACGCGCCCTGGAGACGGCAGCGGGGCTTAGCTTGTCGCTAGGAACCTGCTAGGCTCCTCAGGGCGGAGTCACGGAACCCCAGCACCTCGCTGCCTCCGCAGTTTCCTGCCCTGGGGGCGGTGCTCTTCAGTCCCTTGGCTCTGCGGACCCTTGTCAGACGCCAGGTGCGGCTGGCCACTTGGAATCTGTAGGAGTTCTTCCCGGGGACCGGGCCAGGGGAGCGGAGTCCCGCAGGGACCGCTGCGTGGTTGCATGCCAGGCACTCGTATGCCAGAGCTTGGGTCCGTCACCATCTGCCAGTGGAGTGATCCGGGGCAAGTTCCTTAACTTCTCCTCATCCCATAAGCAGCCTGGGAGTAACATTCCCCACCTCCCAGGGCTAAAAGAAGGAAATGAAATGTAAAAGATTGGCAAAGCGCTTTAAAGTCTGGGCTCCTAAAAACTCTCAAAGATTGTTCCGTTAAATCTAAGGGTCCCCAGAGGATGGTTTCTTGAGCACAGTATCCAAGGAGGAATAGGCAGATGAGAGAAATACCACGAAGAGGAGAAATGAACTAAACAGAAGTTAAATAAATAAGTATATCTCTGCTCAGCTCCTCCCTTCACCCCTCTTCCCAGTATGAGTCCAAACATCTTCTTCCATCCATACCTTGCTCCACATGTCCCTTTCTAAACTCTGCTCTCCTCTCTTCCTGCCTGCCCATCAGACCAACCAGATCTAGATCTTTATCAGCCTAGGACCCTTAACAACCCTTCTAATTTTGCATTTTCTTTTTAAAATTGCAATTATTAAATTAATGCATTGATCTGCATTCAATTAAGGCAATCTGGTACATGTATTTAGAAATAATTTGCAGGTGAGGGGCTCCTGGGTGGCTCAGTCATTGGGTGGCTGCCTTCAGCTCAGGTCATGATCCCAGGGTCCTGGGATCCAGCCCCATATCATGCTCCCTGCTCAGCCCAGAATCTACTTCCCCCTTGGCCTGCTGTCCGCCACTCCCCCTTCCACTTGTGTTCACTCTCTCTCTCTCTGACAAATAAAGTCCTTAATTTTTTTTTAATTAAAAAAAGCAAAACTCATAAAAACAGAGTAGAATAATGGTTACCAGGGGATAATGGTTGAGGGAATCCGGAAGATGTTATTTAAGGTACAAACTTGCAACCAGTAGGTAAATAACCAAGAGATCTAAAGCACAGCAAAGTGATGATAGACAACAGGACTGTATTATAAATTCAAAGTTGCCAAGAGACTAAGTATAAATTATTTCCACCACGAAAAAAGAAATGATAATCATGTGACACGATAGAGATGTGAGCTAACCCTAGGTGGTAATCATTTTGCAATATACAAATGTATCAAATTAACAAGTTGCGCACCTTAAACTTAAACAGTGTTATGGGTCAATTATACCTCAATAAAAAGAAACTTGAAAACCCACTCTCGTGGGTTTTGGTGTTAAGGACCTAAGAGAATGCACCTGAATAAGCAAGCATGGCCAAATTCCATGGGAAAAGTGGTTCCAAGTTCTCTATACGTGACCATGTTTGGGAACCCTGCCATCCCATCCTACACTGGAGACACAATTTGCCTTCAGATGCTCTTGGAGACAAGGCCTATTAAATCATGTGGAACATGGCACAGATAATTCTGGATAATAACCATTAGCTAGGAGGAACAAACACTCTTTCCTCGCACTGGAGAGCCCTTACCAACATTCCCATCAGGTCTTCATTTTTTTTTTTTTTTAAGATTTTATTTATTTATTTGCCAGAGAGAGAGAGAGTGTGAGCGAGCACAGGCAGGCCGAATGGCAGCAGAAGCAGAGAGAGAAGCAGGCTCCCCGCCAAGCAAGGAGCCCGATGTGGGACTTGATCCCAGGATGCTGGGATCATAACCTGAGCCGAAGGCAGCTGCTTAACCAACTGAGCCACCCAGGTGTCCCCGATCTTCATTTTTTTAAAGCAAACTAGAGCCATGGTTTCCAACACTGGCCGTCCATTAGAATGCACTGAGAGAGCCCTTTAGAACATAACCACACTCAGGCCACCTGAGATTTGGGTCCCATCAGCCTGCGGTAGGGCCTTAACTGGTATTAAAAAAAAAAAAATTCCTCAGGTGATCGACTACCGTAGCCACTGGACTAGAGATGGTTCAACAATATGGCGCCCAGAAGCAGTTGGAGGTAATTGGTGTTTTAGCCTTTGGAAAGACAAAACCAAGGAAGACATGATACAAGGGGACCCTCCTCTCTTCACATACAGGGAATTGAAAAATCTATCCAGGCAAACACAGAGCTCTCTTCTTAGGTTCTGCACGCAGGGAACACCGAGAGCGAGCCACATGACCTCGGTGCTAGATGAGAACTCAACTCTGGGTCTGGTGGACCCACATTAAATACTGCCCTGAACACATGTTAGACCCAAGTACCTTAGGCTGAACACTTTGGGTACTTAGCTTCTCCACCTAAAAGCTGGAGAATGTAATAATACCCCCTCAGGATTGCCGTGGGAGTAAATGGGATAATATGTGGGAAATGCTTAGCACTAAGCTTGGTGCATCTTGGGTGCTCAGGAAAGGGTCAGCCTTCACACATGGGAGCAGCGGTGTGCGCAGCATACCACAGAGCTCCCTTGAAACCTAGCCTCTGCTAAGCCACCTGAAGTCTGATCCCATAGATTCCTCTGTCCTCACAACAAGTCTGTTGAGAACCCATCATGGTTCTCTTTCAAGTCTCCTAGCCAGCAGCATGAAGTTGATAGAGACTTAATAGAACAGAAAAAGCTCAACCCTACAAGCTAGCAGGAACTTTTTGAATTTTCTAGTTTCTCTGCCTCCTCTAGGGACTCCACGGTTATGGCTAAAGCAGAAGGCATAGGATGCTCTGAGGTTTGCACATAGATTTTTCTTTCTCAGATCTAGCTCAAGGGTTCTCAAATATGACTTGAATAAGAACTACTCTGCAGGGCTGAACACACACACACACACACACACACACACACACACACACACACACAATACACCGTACCCTACTCTGATAGGTGAATGAAAGACTTGTAAAGTTAATTTTTACCATAAGGGATTTTGCTTCTTTTGCCTTATCGATTGGTTACCTAAGGTCTAACCCAAGCTATGAGAAGTGACTTACCGCAGTTGAATCAAGGTAGTGTCTAGGAACTGCACAGTATTCGTGGTATTACCCTACCACTTACTGAGTCCTTGCTGTATCTTCAAAGTACCATACTATGTATAACCTCATTTCACCCTTTAAATGACCTCCTACAGAAGATATTGTTATTAACCCCCTTTTACAGAGGAAAAGACTGAGAGCAACAGAGTTTGAGGAGTATGCCCAATGTTACATAGATAGTGAGTGGTCATATCAGTCAAGGTATTAGCCAGAATAAGTTGGCATATTCGAATTAAGTAAACTGTGCAGAGTGTAATAAAGGGACTACGTAGAAGGATACGAGAAGGGTGTCGGGAAACTCCAAGGGATAGCGCGGATCCCCTGGACTGGTAACAGTAGCACTATTATCTGCCTTCATCCTGAAGGTGACTGGAACTTAAAGGGGAGTGCCGAATGCAGAACAGCACCTTTGCTGCCACAGCCACCTGCTGGAAGGGGACCTGGGAATAACTGACTTGATCTCCCTTCCCTCCTGTTCTTCTCTCCCCTCTGGGCCCCCCTATCCTATCGGCCAAAGGTGGAAGCTGGAAAGCACACTGAAGCATCTCTGGGCGCAGTCCTTGAAGCCTAGCCTCTGGGGGG